CCCCCCCCACACAGAGACACAGAGAGATACCGCACCACACACACAACACAGACATGTTGGTTGACCTTTCTTTCGCCCGGCCGGGACTGACTTACCTGAGGGAGCGGACAGTCTCTGCTCAAGTGCCCTTCCCGATTGCAATTGAAACACCGCTGCCGCCTCGTCCCTCTGGCGTTGCTGCTCCCAGACGGCCGCCCAGTAGACAGCGGGATGGACGAAGGCGGGGGAGGGGGCGGGGCGCGCTGCGGGTGGGGGTGGGACTGGGGGTGATGGTGATGGTCGGGCTGACCATGGGGGCCTCCACTCTTGACCACACACCCCCTCCCGCCACACTCCTGACAGGTCGAGACGCTCACGATGAGCCCCTGATGACACGGGGGAGGCGGAGGCGGCAGGTACGCGCTCGCATGGGCTTGGGCGCGGTGGTCCTGTGGCTGAGGGAGCATTCCGTGTAGCTGTTTTGGATGTGGCTGTGGCTGCGGCTGGCCTCCGTGCAATACTGGCGCTTCTGGCGGTGCCAGTGGTGGCGGCGGGGGCGGGGGCGGAGGCAGCGGGGATGGCGATGGCGCCTTCTTCAGAAGCAGCGCCTGGTGAGAGATGGGCGCCTTGCCACCCGGCAGCCGTGGGGGCGGCAGCCCACAGGTGCACGGACGGCAGGAGCAAGGGCTGCACATGCAAGCGGGGTTGCCGCACAGCAGACCACTTCTTGACCCAGCGCTCGGCAACTTGGGGTGGTCGCTCATCGGAGTGACCGGCGGACTGCGGTCAGAGGACACGGCGGGCCTAGCTCCTGGTGATGGGGTGAAGAAGGGCAGGGGGGGAGGGGGGGAGGCGGCAGACACAGGGACCGGGGCACCGGCCGCCACAGACGCATAGGCAGAGAGGCGGGGAGGCGATGCAGCTGCAGCTGCAGCTGTCGTCGGCTTGTTCTGGACGAGGGGGGGAGTGGGCAGGTCATCGCTGTCATTGTCATTCTCATTCTCATTGTCATCGATGATGAGCTTGTCTAGCGCCCGCTCGAGGTCTGAGAACTGAGAGCAGTCCTTGGCAAGATGGTCGGGCATGTTGCACTTGTGGCAACGCTTCCCCGCGTCGCTGAACACATCCACGGCACACAAACAGCACGCTCAGCGTTTGTTGACGGACTGTCCAAGCCAGCGTGGGCGCGCGCGCAGAGTGAGTACCATTCCGACGAGATGTGTCCCTCCTCCATGCAGTTGTAGCACAGGGTGATCTTGGGCTGAGGACACTGACGGCCGACGTGACCCAACTCGTGACTGCAACCAACCACACCACACGCACGGTATATGCCTTCCTCCGTGTTCCATCGATCTATCTGCCTCCTTCCTGCCTTCCCTTCCTTGCTGATTCCCTCTCTCTCTGCTGGGTGCGTGCGTACCAGTTGAAGCATCTCGTGGTGACGGATCGGCCATGCACGTCATGGTGGTGGTGGTGGTCACCTTCTCCCGCATCTCGGCTCCTCTCCGCTTCCTCATTCATGACCTCTGACGTACGACCTCAGAAAGCAAACGGTTGCGAGCTTGTTGGCAGTTTGTATCAGGTATTGCCCTGTAGCGAATCGGACGTCGTGTGGCGGCCTTAAGTCGCCCTCTGGAATGAGTTGACGCTTCGTTGCTGTCGCCTGCGTATGGCAAGGCGGCCAGGTGGGTGCCCTCACCAGTCGGGCATTGATCTGAGGGCTGCAGTGAGGCCAGAGAGCTCGCTGGCGTCAGCCAGGCCCTCCCTGCAGCGAAACATGGCTCGGGAACATCACTGGACTGTCTGGTTGTCTTGCCCTTCTATGGTGTTTTGCAATAGGCCCTTCTTCAGCTGGAGGAGCGCAGGCTGCCGTCCAGCTCAGTGTGAGCCAGACAGACAGACGATTCGCACCGCTCCAGTGCAGTGCAGTGCGTCCCTCAGTGCACATCACATTGTCTGTGTGTGTGGTGTTTGGTTCGTGTCAGATGTTTGCTTCAGCGTCTTGCCCACCTGACCCCAAGTATCCACCCCAATCTGCGGACCCCCACCCATCCAGCTCCAGATTCCCAATGTCACACCAGGTACAGCGAGGGAGAGAGGGAGGGAGGGAGGGAGAGAGAGAGGGAGTGAGAGAGAGCAGCCACACCACCTGCCCCTGTTCGTTCACGGCTTCCTTCCCTGCGCTGTGTGTCATGTGCCGTTGGTTGTCTGGTCACAGTATGGGGGTCAGATCGGCCGCTCTGAGCATCCCCCCATGACCCCTTCCCCGTCGCAAGCTCACGGCTTCCAGATGGACCACCATGCTGCCACTTCTGCCGCCGCCGCCGCCGCTGCTGCTGCTGCTGCCGCTGGTGGTGCCTCCCACCAGATGGACGGTGTGGATGGTGGCATGATGGACGACAGCCAGCCCGCCGAAGCCGCTCCCAAGAAGCGAAGGAAACGGAATCCGCCCAGAAAGAGGGCACCTGGGGAGGTGAGCTTGGGCGTGTGGCTGGGCAAGTGTGCGGTGTGGTGTGTTTGTCTGCTTTGGTTCATCGTGTGTTCATTCCGTCGTCTGTCGGTTCCTTCCTTCCTTCCTTCCTTGATTCGTTCAGCCGCGGAAGCCCAAGCAGGCGTTCCTGTGGTTCTACCACCAGATCCTGCCCGAGATCAAAGCCGAGCGGCCAGAACTAGCCATGACCGTCATATCGCAGGTAGTAGGCCTAGCCACACACCACACCCACCTGTCACACACAGACACCCCTCTGTGCTCATGTGTGTGTGTGTGTGCAATCAGGAGGCGGCGCGTCGGTGGAAGCAAATGACGCCCGAGGAGAAGGCGCCGTACGAGCGGCTGAAGGCGGAGGATCGCCAGCGGTACAATCGTGAGCTGGCGCTGTGGGAGCGGCAGCAGGCCGTGCAGGAGCAGGCCCGCAAGAACGTCGAGGCCGGCCCGGAGAGCTACCAGGTCGGGGGGCTGCCGCTCCTCTCCAATAATGAGATGCTCAAGCGACGGGTAAACCGATACACACACACACACACATCCATCCATCCATCCACCACGGGGATGGTCACACTCTCATTGATGCCTTCCTTGTGCGTGGTGTGTGTGTGTCAGCTGTTGCGTCAGGGTGATGAGTTGGGCATGGGGGCTGAGGCGGGGATGTACGGCGGGGGCGGGGGGAGCGACGACAGCTGGATGACCACCCTCACCATGGAGCAGGTGAAAGAGCGCTGAACAACACACTGACCACACACGCACCAACAGCAATTGGGTGGGTGTTTTGTGTGTGTGTGTGTGTCGATCCATCCATCCATCCATCAGATGAAGGAGATTGAGGACCGTGAGTGCTGGTACCGCGAGAATATCAGTGGGCAATCACACACACACATACAGAGAGAGACACCACGTTCCCCCCACTCGCCGCCACACACTCCCCGAGCGATGGCCTGTTCTGTGTGTGATTTGTTTGATCAGCTGAGAAGGATGAGGAGCTCCAGAAGAAGACCGAGTACATCGACACACTCAAAGAGCAAATCGCCGTACGACGCACCCGAGGGATCAAACACCCACCGACACACCCGCCATACGCGCACCCTCTCCCTGTCCCTCCCTGTGCAGGTGTACCATGGTTACATTGAGGATCGCAAGAACATCATCCTGAGTCGCCTGTCGCCCGTGCAGCGGCTCATCGGCAGCAACTTCAGCATCATCGAAGAACGAATCAGACTCGCCCGAACCGAGGCGGAACTCAGGTGCTTGCAGGATTGACGCACAGCAAAAGCACACACACACACGAGGCGATAGATAAAAAATGGTGTTGTTGGCTGCACTGCACTCCACTGCACAGCGAGTGGGTAGTGCTGATCAACAGCGCCCATCTGTTTTGTCCGAAGGACAGCCCGCCCATCGAAGAAGACACAGACTACTTCCTCGTAGGCAACCATACCAGTCGTCGAGAGAGACACACACCGCACCGACACACAGACGGACGGACCAAGATCTGCCTGTGGTGCTTTGTGTGGTGTTTGGTGTGTCAGGCTGAGCGTCTGATGGCCCACATCCGGGCGCTGAGTGGCGACGACCGTGGCGACACGTCTGTGCCCCCGCCCGAGGACAGCGAGCCCCCCTCCTCTCATCGCTTCGACCAACACCCACACCCCCGCTCGCAGTCATCTCTCCCGCCCCCCTCCCTCCCCCCACCTGAAGAAGACGACCAAGGCCCCCACACACACGCACACGGCCCGCCAGACGAGGGGCACCAACACACTGTCAGCCGCAGTGATGCTGTTGCGCCACCGCCACCACCCCCACCGCCACCACACTCCCACCACCAGCCGCCCGGCCACGTCCCGCCGCATCTCTACGCTCGACCACCAGCCCATGCCATGGCGGGCGGCGAGTACGGTGGCATGCAGGCGGCTCATGCTGCCCATGCGGCCGGCATGGTGGTGGAGCCGGGGGGCATGATGGCCCCGCCACTCTTCGCCACACAGTGAGGGATGGATGGAGGGAGCAGAAGCTCGCTCGTCAGACGGTGTGTCAAGACAGGCAGAGAGGGAGAGGGGCGCGAGGGAGGCGGGGTCAATGAATGCTGTGTGTTGATGAGTGAGGTGAGTGCAACTCACTCATGCCATGCTGGTACCGTATCGTTCTTTCTTCTTGCTGCCTTCTTACTGCATACTTACTACTTACTGCATGCATACTTTTTGGATGGATGGATGGATGGCGCAATCGCAATCAGCCGGCCGGCACGGTTGCGTATTTGGCGGGATGGATGGACCGACCGGAGTGGATTGGGGGGGTCAGTCAGTCAGTCGGACGGATTTGATGGATTCATGTATACGGCAGCCAAATGGACGCACCACGCCCCACACGACAGACCACACCCAACAGACAAGAAACAGACAGACAGACAGATAGACAGACAGACAGACGGACGGACAGACAGACAACGAACGATCCTTAGTGAGATTTTCCATCTCTCGCAGCCAGCGTACTTACAGTAAGTACGGTGTGACACCTATACCATACCTACCTGTGCGTGCGTGTGTGTGCGTGGGCGCGGCGCGGGCGCGGGCGGACGTGCAAGTAAGTGTCTTTGTGGTGAGTGAGATCGGGTGATTGATGAGCGAATTCAGGCCTTGAAGGCCTGTCTCATCTCAACAGCCGAGCCGCCCGGCCAGGCAGCCCGCATTCATTCTGATTGTATGTGTGTGGACTTTTCATTATACATCATGTCAATGGGCCACTTGCTCTTGTTGATTCAGTCGCCACGTACCCACACACACACACGCACACACGAATAAAGGTGTCTGTCTGTCCACGCAGGCAGCCACTCACTCGCCCATCGTGTGTGTCGGTGCGTGGCACCACCACACACGCGTCGCGCCCAGTCAGTCACACCAACATCCTCGCCCATCGCACTCATCAGCAGGCACAGCACAAACAAAACTGCTGTTCTTGTCTCGAGAGAGAGGAAGGGAGGGAGAGCGGGCATCACATCCACAACGTCAGCTAAATGCAGGCAGGCAGGCAGGCAGGCTGGCACGGCCCCCAAGTCTGAGGGCTCCGGAACAAGCAAGCTCATGTCATGCAGGCCCCTCAACTCAATCAGCCCCTCCGCTCTCTCATGAGAGAGACAGTGAGTGCATGTCGTCTGCACCTCACCAGCCATCACATCGATCAGCCGGCCATTGTGTGTCTGGTAGGTATGGTACCTCAGTCAGTCATTTCTCACATCGACCGACCGGCCAACACAACACACGCCGGCCATGCCGTCTGGCCTCATGCAGTGGGGTGGGGTGTTGTGGGGTGGGGGATGGGACTGGCAGGCAGGCATTCAGCTAGTTGGGTTAGTTAGCTCCTGAAGAGGAAGGCCAGGTCGTCGGCCGTCAGCTTGGCCAGCGAACCCTCGTTGGCACCGACAGTCTGCACACACACGGATAGCACAGACAGACACGACAGACACATCAGAGCACAGAGAGAGCCGGTTTGTCCGTCTGCTGTCGCGTGCTGTGTGCAGTGCCTCGTGCACTGACTGACCCCATCGAAGACGAGCTGTTTCTTTTCCTGCAGCTCGAGTATTTTCTCCTCGACGGTGTCCTTGCAGATGAACCGGATGGCGATGACCTCCTTGAGCTGACCGATACGGTGGCACCGCTGGATCGCCTGCATCTGCAGGCACTCATTCATGGCCATGGCACACACACACACCTCCACACACACTCTCTCTCTCTCTCTCTCTCGTGTGTGTTGTGTTGATACTATAGCGCCTGTTTGTTGATCTGATCTCCCCTACCTACGTACCTCAGCTGCGGGGTTCCACCAGGGGTCCATGAGGAAGACGTGGTTGGCGACCTGCAGGTTCAGCCCCTCGCCGCCCGCCTTGAGGCTGATGAGCACCACACGCAGGGAGGGGTCGTTGTTGAACGCATACAGCACATTCGACCTGATTGATAGGATAGACACACGCCCACACACACACAGAGAGAGAGAGAGAGGGATCCCGTCGGCGGATGGTTACCTACCGGGAGACCAGCGACATGCTCCCAACGAGTTTGGCGCAGTTGAAGGCCGAGCCCTTCTTGAGCCGCCACTCAATCAGGTCCAGCATGGCCGTGTACCTGCACACACACGCCATCCATCCATCCATCGGCACCAACCACTTCAATGGCAGGCAGGCAGGTTATTTACTGGGAGAAGACGATGGCTTTCGCCTCGGGGTCGCGCTTGTCCATCGCCTCGAGCTCCTGCACCAGGGCCTCGATCTTGGTGGACGACTTGAACTCGTTGACGTCGATGCGGCTCATAATGCCGCGCTTGCTGTTGCTGCTGCTGCTGGTGTTGGCACCACCACTCTGCACACACACACGACACACCACACACACCCATCACCGTGTCACAGAGAGAGACCCCCATCTCACCTGCTCAGCCCTGACATTCTTGACAGCCTGCTTGGCCACCGCCTCCCGTATCTGCGCCTCCAGCTTGGCCGTATCTTCGCCATCCTCGTCGCAGTCATCCTCCCCACCCCTCCCGCGCCGCTTGCCCTTGCCCTTGTTGGCGGCGCCACTCGCCGCCGAGGCAGAAGCTGAAGCTGAAGCAGCGGCTGCTGCTGCCGCCGCCGCCGGTGCTGGGGGGTCCTCGATGCCGTCGTCAGAGGGGCTGACGCGGGGCGTGGCCACAGTCGACTGCAGATCTACCGTCAACGGCCTGAGTGCACCGAGAGGAAAAGGCCATGTGCTGGTGGTAGGTGTCTGTCGTTGGTTGTGCGGTGGCCTGCCTGGTCCCTCCCTTACACGTAGCACACGGGGCATCCGAGCGTCTCTCCCTCCTGGTCGGTGGGGGCGGAGTTGATGTACTCCTCCACACAGGCCCGGTGGAACGAGTGGTGGCACTTGGACACCACTCGCTCCTCCAGCAGGACGTTCTCCTGGCAGAGGCCGCAGATGTCCATGTTGGTGGCGCGGCTGCTGGAGGGGAGGGGCGCGTCCAGGGAGTTGGAGAGGGGGCCGTGGACGATCAGGTATGGGTGGTCGACGGCCTGACGACAAAGCAGAAGGAGCGAGAGAAGGAGGGACGCATGGCATGGCATGAGGTGGGGGGAGTGTGTGGGTGGGATCGGTGTGGTGGGTTTGGTTTGTGTGTCCATTCAGCTGAGCGGACCTGTCTGAGCCTGGAGAGCAGGTCGAAGATGTGGGCGTAGTTGTGTAGCAGCGTCCCCTTGTCAACAAACGCATCCTAAGAGAGAGAGGGCGGGCGGGCGGGAAGGAAGGGATACAGACACAGCACACACACCCACACACACACAAACAGACAGAGCAGTGTGGCAGTGCCGGCCCCCCTGTCTTGTGTGTGTCCTTCCTTATCTGTCTGCTTAGCTTACAAATTTGGTTTTGGTCTGCATGAAGAGTGACTCGTAGAAGTCCTTCTCCTCCTTGGTCAACGGGTCGCGTCGGATCTTGACCGTCATGGGGGGCAGCTTGACGTCCTCGGCCCGCTCCTGCTTGGTCCGCCTGACACATGACACATGACACACAGATCAACATGGCTGTGTGAGTGAGGTGGTTGGTGTGTGTCGGGGGGTAGTGAGGGGATCTGGGTGGGCAGGCAACGCACCTGAGGAGGATCTTGTCGAGCACCTCGTTCTTGAGATGGTCCATGGCTATGCGGCCCTCACCCTGCCACACACACACACAACACACCACACCACACCACACCACACACACACCATGGCGCCGCGCCCTGTCGGTCTGTCTGTCTGTCTCTCTCTGTCGGCGTACGGTGTATCCGTAGCTCTTGATGGGGTTGACGATGCGTCTGTTGAAGTAGGAGAAGTGCTGCATCCGGGTGCAGCCGCACTTGGAGCAGTAGCGGTTCTCGTTGAAGCGGAAGTACAGCGACTTGCAGTCGCACCCCTTCTTGCCGCAGTAGTAGTCTGCACACACACACCACACACACACACACACACAGAGGGAGCGGCAGCGAGCCATGAATGCATTGTGTGTTGTGTTGGAGTGAGTGGCGTACATGCGAATGGCTCGAACTTGAGGAACCGCACGAGTGAGTAGAGCTCGCCCACGCGGTTCTGCAGGGGCGTGCCGGTCAGGCACCACTTGCTCTTGCTCGACTTCAACCCGTAAACAGCCTGCATTCAATTCCAATCCACACACACACAGAGAAACACTCTGACACAATGACCACCACACAGACACAGACACGCATCGGTCCGCTGGCCGGCCACTGACTGACTGACCTTGGCAGTTGAGGTGGTGCGGCCCTTGATGCGATGCGCCTCGTCGAGTATGATGCGCTGCCAGAGGATGGCGTGGAGGGGGCTGTCCTTGAGGCTCACACCAGACTGGTCCAGGTCGCTCTCAGCCTCCTCGTCGTCGTCATTATCTTCGTCCTCGTCTGGGTCGTCGTTGTCCCTGCCCCTCTTCTTGAGCCGACCGCCGCCGCCCTTGCCACTGCTCTTGCCCGACTCGCCTGAAGGACATTTGGCCGACGCGGGTTTGGCCTTGGCCTTCTTCTTCTTGTTGCCCTTGCTGGCCTTCTCGCCGATAGGCATGTCGTCATCGTCCACCTCACCCGCTGCCGCATCGCCGTCCTGCCCCTGCTGCTGGTCGTCATCCTCATCCGAGTCGTCGTCAGGCACGAACTCAGAACCAGACGAATCGCTGTCATCATCCTGCACACACACCACACACACACACAGAGAGGCGGGGG